GAAAAGAATAGAAAAACTTAAATCTATTGAACCGCACTTCAAGTTTGAAAAATGAAAACCCGAAAATCCCACATGGGTAACATCTTCTGCAATGTTAAGGCCTTCAATCGCAGTTTGTAGCTGCATAGAAATTGCTTCACACACAATTTTACTCTTACTGCCATTGATACTACGACAATTGCCGATATTGATAATACTATTAAAAGACTTGCTGCTAAATCCCAAAGAATTCGCTCAAGAACGCCACCGTTTAGTAACAATGAATTCCGGAGACCGGACATCTGAATTGGACCGAAAAGTCACTGGATTGTTCAACAACGAAGATAGGGCAAGAATATGGGTTGTATAGAAATGAAAGTTGAGTTATTAACAAATTTGAAACCCTCAATTAACGGGATAAGTACGTCATTTAATTAAAAGGTTAATTTTTAATTAAAATGATAAAAACCTGATAAATGAAAAAAAAACTTGAAAGCCTGATTTTTCAAAACCTCAAACTAAATGCCTGATTTGATGTAATTTCCACTTTTAAAATTGCATCTTTCAAAGGCCCCACAGGCCAGTTAGCTTAGGCATTATAATTATAGTGCCGACAGGTTGAATAGGAACTTCAACCTGTAAAATTGATGAGGTTCAACTTCAACCTGTTAAAAAAAGGTGCGCCCCCCACTATATATATATATATAATGATTTACATACAAATAGGTGTAATAGGAACCTTTCATATACTTTAATCCTGAGCATACTTTTAGACGGCAAACTAACTGCTAGTTATTACAGTTTCTGCCAATAAGTGGATGACATTTCTTCAATTATATGTACATTACGCTTAAGATCAGAGAATGTTATCGAGTAAGACACCTACAGTATTTCGATATCCAGCGAATGTGATATATGGAGCCTATATTGCACAACAGTATGAACACTAAATCGGACATCGATAAATTTAGACTTAAGTGTTACGTATTCTTTCATCTTATCCTGGAGTCGAGGGCAACATGTTGGGAAACAATTTCGGGAACACTGGCAGCAAGAACTCCATGAATGGAACAATAATAAAAACTGCAACAGGAACTAGTCTAAAAATGTCGGCAGTTGTTCTTGTGAGTTGTTGCCTCTCCCTCCGGGAAAGAGTCTTCCCTCTAGCAAGTTTTAACAATAGCCTTGAACTTATTCTAACATCAGCCCAAAGTAGTTTAGTACCCAACCAGTAGTGCTGCATTGTGGATTTGAACTCATCCTTCCAGTGCCTCTACTTTTTGCCCAATCCTCCCTGAATTAAGGAGAGCAGAGAATAACAAAAAAAGAAATATTATAAGACTTTGGACATCAAAAAGAAAATGTCTCAAGTATACCTGCTCATAGAAGCAACGGCCCTTAAAGCAGGACCAATCCCTATAAGCATGGCCCACATTCTCTTCAGTATAGGTTTAGCACCCTTCTGGGATTTTTGCAGCTTTGGCTTTGGCTTTGACAGTGCTCAAACCTTCAACTGCCTGGTCACATTCTTCTGGTGAAGCTTCCTTCTTCTGCTTCATAGCTTGTTCTTCATTTTTTATCTCACTACTACCTAATTCGGACTGACCTGCTGCAGCAGTGGAAAAATAGCGTGCATATTCTATTGTCCACCTGGCTCCCAATGGGGACAGAACCCCTGATCTTCCAATTCCGTAGCCCAAAGTTGGAATACAAGAAGAATTACACCTAAGAAATTCTTTTGTCAAAGTAGTTAGTGCTTCATCATTGCTTAGAGAATGTGAATCCTCTTCATTTACATGATTGGTGCTTGAAGATGAATAGCTCACAGCCCAGCTCCAATTCCGTGAATAAGGAACCCCAGATGAACTTCCATGTTCAAGACTCGAAAACCATCGAACCAACCACTTGGGCTGATGAAGGGAGTCAAAAAGAAACTTTTTCCTTTGCAATATTGCACTCGCGGCCATTCTTCTAACATCTAAACCATTGCATACAACTAAGGTAGCATATTCCAGCACCTTGTTGATATAGGATGATAGCCAATTTGCATAAAAGTGTATATCACTCTGCAGAGTACAGCTTGAATTAAACAATGCACATAAATATGTATCTCTAATGGAAGCCTCAAAATCAGGAAAAGAACCAGCTCCTTTAATAGTGTTCCATAATGCTTCATATCTCATATATTTTGTCAAATCCTCTGAGCTTCTATTTAGAAGGACTCTATTACTCTTATCAACTTCTAGCTTCCTAAACTTTGTTTTCAATCATATTTATTTATTATTTGATGACCTTAATTTCCTTCGAGTTGGGTAAGATTTCTCCCAGTTATCATGCATGCATTGTATAAATCACGTCGTGCTGTGTAAGAAATGTCAAATCAAGCAACGCTTGCCAAATTGTTTTCAAACCATCCATTTCTACGATGTAATTTCATTGCAAAAGTTGGTCACCAGTGAACTTCATTTTAAAGTGGCTTCATGCTGAATAAAAGCATTGTTCTTTATCTAGTTGGATTCCACTAATAATTTTCCCACCTCAAACAGTTCCATCATCCATGCTAGTGTTGGAAAGATATTTTATGTCTAGCTCAATAATGAAAGAGCAAAAATCCATTTCAAGGTTTGAATCCCTAACCCCTAAAGCTAAATGGAAATCTTTATTTATTTATTTTTTGGTTCAATCTCTAAGTCCATATCCGATATATGAATTCTAAATGGCACATCATAAAAACGAAGTACAAAAATCAATGTTAGACAACAATATTTAGTTCATTTCCATTTCTAGTAGGAATTGTAGCCCTAAGAGCTCAGAAAATAACAATGATGTGTATCAAATCGAAACCTGGACTAGCATTTCATAGCTCAATCTAGATGTTTTAATTTGACTTATTATGTGGAGTTCATACTAAGCTTACTCATCAAACGTCCAAAAATAATATCCATCATCACTAAAAAAATAAAAAAATTACATAATCTACGAATTTCGCGGTCTTCTCAGCCACTGCGCACTTACACAAAGTATACATACATAATCCATATATACGCGAAGATAAATGAAAAACATGTAATTCCGGAGAATATTAATACGAAAATGACGATGAAAATGCATAAAGAAAAATTACAATAAAGCAGAAAATACTGACCTGAGAAGATGAAGGCGATTGATGAATCTGTATGGCAAGGCAATTATAGTAGAAGAATATCTCATTCCACATTCGAGGCTAGTTGATAATTTGCTATTTTTTCGTCTTCTTCCCTAATTTTGTTGGGCGATTAAGATCGAGGGGTGTTTGTTTTTGATTTTTGGACTCTACACTAAATCAATTCTCATTTTTAACCACTCATTCTTCAATAAAATAATATTTTTCATCACATCAATAACTTTTCCTTATTTTTTTACCATATATTTCCCATCAGATCACTATTTAAAATACATTCTTTCCTCAATAATATTCATCAAACACCCTCTTATATGCTGATATTTTATCCTATTTTCAGAAATTGAGTTATAAAAGCACGTAATGTTCCCAATGAACCAAGCAGAAATGAAAACAACAGGTAAGAACAATTCTTCAATCTAAAATGTAAAAGGACTAGTGACAATAGTATTATGATCACTGATACACCATCAAAAAGATCTCTTTTTCCTTCTTTTTCATTTTAGAGAGTACCACTCACATCTGTTCAATAAGAGTTAAATGAAATCAAGAATATTTATGGTATAATTTTTTTATCACAGTTGTAAATATTAGAAAATCCAATTTAATAAATTAGAAGACAAGATGGTACAAAGAAAG